ATCTTCGTACCGATCCCTCCCTTTTCAATTTTTTATTTTATTTTATTTTGTTAAGGTTTCTTTTATTTCTCTTACCATAGCAACAAATTATCATATTCGTGTTTTTCAAAATATATTTTTTTTGTGCAAAATATATTATAATTCATTTTTAAAAATTTGTAATCAATGATTTAAGACCTAAATTGAAAAAGAAAAAAAAAGAAAACGATACGATCGGTACTTTGATAAGTATTCGCCTAATAGATAATCGCTAAAAATATAGCGACTGATTTCGTGTTTTTCAAAATATATTTTTTTTGTGCAAAATATATTATAATTCATTTTTAAACATTTGTAATCAATGATTTAAGACCTAAATTGAAAAAGAAAAAAAAAAGGAAAAAAAAGAAAACGATACGATCGGTACTTTGATAACTATTCCCCGTATGGATAATCGTTAAAAAAATAGCGACTGATTTCGCAAAAGGTCGCTATCTTCGTACCGATTCCTCCCTTTTCAATTTTTTATTTTATTTTATTTTGTTAACGTTTCTTTTATTTCTCTTACCATAACAACAAACTATCATATTCGTGTTTTTCAAAATATATTTTTTTTGTGCTAAATATATTATAATTCATTTATAGACATTTGTAATCAATGATTTAAGACCTAAATTGAAAGGGGAAAAAAAGAAAAAAAAAAGAAAACGATACGATCGGTACTTTGATAAGTGCTCCCCTCAAGGATAATTGCTAAAAGGATAGCGACTAATATCGCAAAAGGTCGCTATTTTCATACCGATCCCTCCCTTTTCAATTTTTTATTTTATTTTATTTTGTTAATGTTTCTTTTATTTCTCTTACCATAGCAACAAATTATCATATTCGTGTTTTTCAAAATATATTTTTTTTTGTGCAAAATATATTATAATTCATTTTTAAAAATTTGTAATCAATGATTTAAGACCTAAATTGAAAAAGAAAAAAAAAGAAAAAAAAAAGAAAACGGTACGATCGGTACTTTGATAACTATTCCCCATAAGGATAATCGCTACAAATATAGCAACTGTGTCCGCAACAGATTGCTACCTTCATACCGATCCCTCCCTTTTCAATTTTTTATTTTACTTTATTTTGTTAACATTTCTTTTATTTCTCTTACCATAACAACAAACTATCATATTCGTGTTTTTCAAAATATATTTTTTTTGTGCAAAATATATTATAATTCATTTTTAAAAATTTGTAATCAATGATTTAAGACCTAAATTGAAAAAGAAAAAAAAAAGAAAACGATACGATCGGTACTCAATGATTTAAGACCTAAATTGAACTATTCTCCGTATAGGTAATCGCTAAAAATATAGCGACTTATCTCTCAAAAAGGTCGCTATCTTCGTACCGATCCCTCCCTTTTCAATTTTTTATTTTATTTTATTTTGTTAACGTTTCTTTTATTTTTCTTACCATAACAACAAACTATCATATTCGTGTTTTTCAAAATATATTTTTTTTGTGCAAAATATATTATAATTCATTTTTAAACATTTGTAATCAATGATTTAAGACCTAAATTGAAAAAAAAAAAAAAAAGAAAAAAAAAAGAAAACAATACGATCGGTACTTTGATAACTATTCCGTAAGGATAATCGCTAAAAAAATAGCGATTGATATCGCAAAAGGTCGCTAGCTTCGTACCGATCCCTCCCTTTTCAAAATTTTATTTTATTTTATTTTGTTAACGTTTCTTTTATTTCTCTTACCATAACAACAAACTATCATATTCGTGATTTTCAAAATATATTTGTGCAAAATATATTATAATTCATTTTTAAACATTTGTAATCAATGATTTAAGACCTGAATTTAAAAGGAAAAAAAAAAGGAAAAAAAAAGAAAACGATACGATCGGTACTTTGATAAGTGTTCCCCTCAAGGATAATCGCTAAAAGCGTAGCGACTAATTTCGCAACGGGTCGCTATTTTCCTACCGATCCCTCCCTTTTCAATTTTTTATTTTATTTTATTTTGTTAATGTTTCTTTTATTTCTCTTACCATAGCAACAAATTATCATATTCGTGTTTTTCAAAATATATTTTTTTTTGTGCAAAATATATTATAATTCATTTTTAAAAATTTGTAATCAATGATTTAAGACCTAAATTGAAAAAGAAAAAAAAAAAAAAACGATACGATCGGTACTTTGATAAGTATTCGCCTAATAGATAATCGCTAAAAATATAGCGACTGATTTCGTGTTTTTCAAAATATATTTTTTTTGTGCAAAATATATTATAATTCATTTTTAAAAATTTGTAATCAATGATTTAAGACCTAAATTGAAAAAGAAAAAAAAAGAAAAAAAAAAGAAAAACGATACGATCGGTACTTTGATAAGTATTCTCCGTATCTGTAATCGCTAAAAATATAGCGACTTATTCCTCAAAAAGGTCGCTATCGTCGTACCGATCCCTCCCTTTTCAATTTTTTATTTTATTTTATTTTGTTAACGTTTCTTTTATTTCTCTTACCATAACAACAAACTATCATATTCGTGTTTTTCAAAATATATTTTTTTTGTGCAAAATATATTATAGTTCATTTTTAAACATTTGTAATCAATGATTTAAGACCTAAATTGAAAAGGAAAAAAAAAGAAAAAGAAAAGAAAACGATACGATCGGTACTTTGATAACTATTCCCCGTAAGGATAATCGCTAAAAAAATAGCGACTGATTTCGCAAAATGTCGCTATCGTCGTACCGATCCCTCCCTTTTCAATTTTTTATTTTATTTTATTTTGTTAACGTTTCTTTTATTTCTCTTACCATAACAACAAACTATCATATTCGTGTTTTTCAAAATATATTTGTTTTGTGCAAAATATATTATAATTCATTTTTAAACATTTGTAATCAATGATTTAAGACCTAAATTGAAAAAGAAAAAAAAAAGAAAAAAAAAGAAAACGATATGATCGGTACTTTGATAACTATTCCCCGTAAGGATAATCGCTAAACAGATAGCGACTGATATGGCAAAAGGTCGCTATCTTCGTACCGATCCCTCCCTTTTCAAATTTTTATTTTATTTTATTTTGTTAACGTTTCTTTTATTTCTCTTACCATAACAACAAACTATCATATTCGTGTTTTTCAAAATATATTTTTTTGTGCAAAATATATTATAATTCATTTTTAAACATTTGTAATCAATGATTTAAGACCTAAATTGAAAAAGAAAAAAAAAGAAAAAAAAAGAAAACGATACGATCGGTACTTTGATAAGTGTTCCCCTCAAGGATAATCGCTAAAAGGATAGCGACTAATATCGCAAAATGTCGCTATTTTCATACCGATCCCTCCCTTTTCAATTTTTTATTTTATTTTATTTTGTTAATGTTTCTTTTATTTCTCTTACCATAGCAACAAATTATCATATTCGTGTTTTTCAAAATATATTTTTTTTGTGCAAAATATATTATAATTCATTTTTAAAAATTTGTAATCAATGATTTAAGACCTAAATTGAAAAAGAAAAAAAAAGAAAACGATACGATCGGTACTTTGATAAGTATTGTGCTTAAGGATAATCGCTAAAAATATAGCGACTTATCTCGCAAAAGGTCGCTATCTTCGATCCGATCCCTCCCTTTTCAATTTTTTAATTTATTTTATTTTGTTAATGTTTCTTTTATTTCTCTTACCATAACAACAAACTATCATATTCGTGTTTTTCAAAATATATTTTTTTTGTGCAAAGTATATTATAATTCATTTTTAAAAATTTGTAATCAATGATTTAAGACCTAAATTGAAAAAGAAAAAAAAATAAAAAAAAAGAAAACGATACGATCGGTACTTTGATAACTATTCCGCTTAACGATAATTGCTAAAAATATAGCGACTGATATGGCAAAAGGTCGTTATCTTCGTACCGATCCCTCCCTTTTCAATTTTTTATTTTATTTTATTTTGTTAATGTTTCTTTTATTTCTCTTACCATAACAACAAACTATCATATTCGTGTTTTTCAAAATATATTTTTTTTGTGAAAAATAAATTATAATTCATTTATAAAAATTTGTAATCAATGATTTAAGACCTAAATTGAAAAAGAAAAAAAAAAGAAAAAAAAAAGTAAATGATATGATCGGTACTTTGATAACTATTCTCCTTCATGATAATCGCTAAATAAATAGCGACTGATAACGCGAAAAGTCGCTATCTACGTACCGATCCCTATAAATTGGCTCCCATTTTCACCAAAAAATAATTTGACACTCTTGCTAAAATTCTCCAAAACTCTCAAACACTTTTTTCTCTAAATTCTAATTTTGGCATCGGAGGTTCTTCTGTCAAAGCCCCCCCATTCATCGTGGGTGTGTGAGGCTCTTGGCCTTGACCTAAGGTGTTATTTGCTTTGTAGGTGCAATTTTGTTCAAGATCAAGGAGAAAGAAAATTGCATCCACATCAGTGATGAGAGAGAGGGCGTGCGAGCAGACCTGCCGTTTTTGTAATGGAGTCTAAGCTGAGTAACGTCAGGTCAGGGTGGAAGATTGACTGGGTTGAGCGGTATGATGTAAATCCAGATATAAACCCAGGAAAATGAATCGGCTGGAGAAGAAGATGGATTGGAAGAAGGTTGCTCAAGAAAAAGATGGGAGAAAGATGTGGGCCCTTGCATTTTTTTTTATATTTTAAATTAGTTTTATATTTAAAATGATTTATTATTAATTAAATATATATATATATTTTTTTTTTTACAAATAAGAAAGTTTCATCAACGTCATAAAAAATGTGGATTTTATATTTGACATGTCATCACTTAATGGTTAACTTAACCGAATTTTTAACGGATGTATGAAATTGCATGAAAATCATAAGTTTATGTATAATATTGTAATGTTGAAGATGATGAATGAGGTTGCAATGCATCCAAACTTGAGAAGGCAAATTGTAATTTACTCATATACTTAATTAACTTTTGGCTTTGCATGGAATTTGTTGCAGATTGAAAATTTAAATTGCAAGTAGTTATTATATATTTTGCTTTTCCTACTTTAGATATATCAGCTTCATATTAGTGACATCAATGACCACAAATATCCGAAGTCAGCGTCCTCTTCATGAATATAGCTTTTGTTAAACATTTGTAGCCAATTCCATGTTATCATCTTTTTCTGATTCAGATGGAAGTTGATCCTTGCTTTTTCCCCATAGAACCATATAGAGGCCAATCACAATGACCATTGCTCCAATTACTCTGCAAAAATAAAAAAATAAAAAATCCCTTGTTAGCCCTTGTTTGCATTTTTTTTTTTCTTGAAACGTATGCACATAAATAGAATTACAAACTTTTAATCAAAATATAGAGCTGGATGGGCCAAGAACCGGACAATGAGCACTAAGCTGTGATTTATATACTGCTTAATTATTGTATCTTTAACGTCCCTTGATACTATTTTTTCAGGAAGTCTAACGCAGTTCCATTTGTACTATCTCCATTTCCATTTTCGGTATTTTTTTTAGAAGCTAAATAAATCCAAGGTGCATGTTCCTGCATTTAGTAGATAAGAGAGGTTGATGCAAATTTACCTTCCCAAGTACATGATCTCAGCTAATATGAAGGAGCTCATAACGGCTACAATAATCATGCTTAGAGGACTAAAAGCAGTCACAAAAACAGGTCCTCTTTCCTTCATTACCACTCCCTGAATGTAATAAGCGATCCCTGAACATATTATTCCCTGCATCAAAACATCGTCACGCTGTAAATATATACACTAGTAAAGTATATGTATGTATACATACTAGAAGATTTTTAACCAGAAAATTTGGGGTTAAGAAGTTCTTACACTGTAAACAGCAGCTAAAAGCTTAAAATCAAAGTGTATGGACCAAGCTATGGGGTTATTCCATTCGAAAGCTAGGGCCACCGCAGTTCCTTGAACCGTGCCCGCCAAGCATATCCAAGTTGCTAGGGATAGCTCAGCAGGGTATGAATTTAGAGTAATCGCCTATAAAAGCCGTAATTAGTACAACAATGAGGGTGATAATTATGTATTAATATAGCTAGCTGCTTGGGTACGTAGTCAGGGTTGTTACTTGCATGTTATCCCCAGTAAATATACCAACTAACTCTCGGTCTACTAATACTTTTTTCTAATGTCGGAAGATGTTTTAAGTTCGAATATCCTCTCTCCGTTGATTTAAAAAAAATAAAAAGTTGCATGAAACATTAGGGATTTACTTGGAGAATCATGAAACCAGCCCAGCAGAAACATCCAGCTGCAATCATGATAGCTCCCTTTATGGGATCTTGATGAACTGTGGAAACTGTAGATTCTTGATGGATATTTCTTCTTGTCCACGGAAAATTCAACTTGGGTCCATTGATTAGAGTCATAAGCATGGCTCCTCCCACAGTCACTATGGTCCCCAATATCTTTGCAAGGCTATGCAGGCTTCTCAAGTTAATCTTCTCAATCCTAGTCAAAGTAAATAATTTAAATTCACATTTTCATGAACCATGCAAAAATTAACACATTTTCATGAATACATACATACATACATACATACATATATATACCTGAAAATCCAAGCCATTATGAATGCAAAAGCAGGAAGAACATTGCACATGGCAGATGTAAAAGTTGCAGTTGTAAGCTTCATCCCGGTATAGAACAAGTTCTGGTCAAGTACAGGCCTAATAATAATTAAGAGTAGAGATCACTCGCTTAGTTCGATTTTCCAATATGTTTAAACAGAAAAACAGCACTATTTTAATTTTAAAAAGGAAAAAAATTCAAACTTAGTAAGCTGAAAAATGTGTGACATAGTGGTCACGGTGCTTAACTCTAATAGGCCAAGCAACACAATCTTGGTGAAAATTGATAAGGTCATCTTTGGCCTTACTTTCCTGCAGTAGAATCAAGTTCATTGGATTAATTTTCTTCATCTCTCAACATGCCAAATGAAAAAAAAAAAAAAAAAAAAAAAAAAACAGATTACGACATACAGGAGGGTGACAGAGAGATGCACCTATCGAAGACAATGGCAAAAGGAGCTATAAAAACACTGGCCACAGCATGTCGATAGACTACCAAGACATGCGGGCTCATCCCATGGTTTAGAGCAAACTTTGAAATTATGGACATGCCTGCGAACCCAAATTGCATGAAGGTGACAGCCATGAACGGCATCGCCCAATTGAGCATCTCAGCCATGGACCCCTTAGACATGTTGAGCTTGTTCTAAAACTAATAAGCGTCTGATGTGAAAAGTTAGCTAGTGACTGATGATCAGTGATGAGAAAACATTGAGAAGAAGCTGCAGTTACTTATAGGCATGTAAATTATGTGCGTCTCAATCTTGAATATTCTAGGGACTCCACTAAGGTGAGCTGAAATAACATTCTGTGAAGAGAACCCTTTCCACCAAATTAAGCATCAAAACCAGTAGTACCTCTTTTCCACACGTCGAATATTATCCTGGATTATCATATGATTCATATCTGACTAAGTAAGCAGTAAATAAATCAGTGTTTCAAGTGATTAAGTCAAATTTTGGCTTAAACGTGCGTGACTATCATATCACAAGTGTATTGAGAGTAAGGGGTGCTGAAAATGGAGTTAACTTTAATTGCCAACTAGGGTAGGTCTTAGTGGTAGTTGTCTTTACTTGTTAGTGTTGAGAGTATATATGAATCCCATGTCGATGAGAGGAGGGACCTTATGTGAGCTTTTAAGAGGTTTGGCTATTCTCCATATGACTAATTGATTTTATAATGGAACCCCAACTTTTTTAATGGTATCAAAGTAGGTTATCCCACGTGTGAAGCCCAATGACCACACGTGCTACATGTCATCCGATTTGTGTTGTCTCCATGCTAGATTTGAAAATCCGTCACACGTGTTGAGAGTATCAATCCAAAATCAATGGGAGGAGGGACTAGTATGGATTTATAAGAGGTTGGGGTATCAATCCCTCATCGATAGGAGGATGGACTTTTTATGGATTTATAAGAGGTTGAACTACTCTCCATATGCCCAATTGATTCTATGATTAAAGAGTATATATCATGTTCACTACATGAATTTGAGAATAATGTATATTTATGTAAAGTTTGATATCTAATTATTATAAATTCCATTTCGATAGCATTTTTGTTTGTAGGAACATTTTCACGTTAAAAAGTATATTGTTTCCCCTTTTTTTTTCTTTTCTTTTCTTTTCTTTTTTTTTTTTATTTTTTTGTCAAAATAAAGTTATATCTTAATCATCGTTCTTCTGTTTTCAACAGCTTGATCTTACTTGATTAGTTGCACGCACATTGCTGAAATGACTTCAATGATGGGACCTTACCCTGTGGGGTAAAATAAGATAATCAAATTACAATTAGTTAGGTGAAAAATAATAAGAACATCAAATTATGACGTTTGCACACTACAATATGCCTGTGGTAGCAAATTCTGACTTTGTTATTTTGCACTTAATTAGTAGTCCCTTAGATATATTTCTTTGTGGATAATTTATTTGATCATGTTACTCTCTCCCTTTTTCTCTATCTTTTAATGACAATGACTATAAACTTTGAATCTATACACTTAAAAATATAGTGGAAAATATAGAAGTTTAATTTGAGAGGTCTCATGCATGCACACGTAATTGGAGAATAATTATGGTCCAAAATCGAGCACAATGTGTCAATCAAAACATCATTCATTGGAAAACAGGGATGAATCCCATCACTTCCAGACTACCGAATCAGACATATATATCAAATTGGACGATTGCCGCTTTTCTGAAGTAGTGACTATGTTCTGATTCTTCTTATTAATTATTCAAAGCTTAGAACTTTATTTTTAATTAATTAACATATGCTTCTTTTACTCCAAAATAGCGTCTTAATTAAAGGTTCAGCTACAATGCTATGCCTCATTTAGTAGCACATAGTTTATTAAAAATGATTTTGGCGTCTTTTGATTTTAGTGCAAGAAAATAATTGAAAGAGAGTTTTGAGTCAGCCTTCAAACATGGCCAAAAGCCAATTGTGGTGCTTATTGCGCTAGAAATTAGTGGCTCTGGATTGGATTAAAGTAAGTGGAATAATAATATTTTACTTTCTAGGCTTCATCAATTAGCTAAAATGCTATCCATCTCATACTTCCACATTTTTTTCCGTGTGCAATTTGATGATCAAAACTTTTAAAAACCCTAATTCTAAATTATTAGAATCAGAAACCACCAGGTCCATCATTATATACAGTACCATACATAGTACTCGATCGAACCAATGTCTCCTTGCCCTTAGTTTAAGTTGGACTATTAGATTTGATTTTATATATATATATAAGAAGTGTTATTGACACTCCAAAAATCTCATTCTACACTCCTCACAAGTATATTTTTCTTTCTAAATATAGAAAGTTTGGAGTGTAGAATGAGAATTTTGAAGTGCCAATAATAATTCTTTATATATAAAAGTGCTTTTCACTTAAAAACCCATGTCATGCAGCTTAAACCTTTTGCTTTAATCTAATCCACAATTAAGGAGTAAAACCAGTTTCTGAACCAAAACTTACAACCAAAATATGTGCTAAGAATATCCAAATTACACTGGCTAAGATTTGTGCGTATTAGAAAACGCTAAAGCACTTCTTTAGTGCTTTTGGCTTGTGCTTTCTTTTCTTGCTTACCGAATGATATTCTAATTTTAATTGATACTAAAATAAAATGCTTTTGTCAACTCCACTATAGTTGCCTGCACTGCAAGCACATTCTGAATGCATGCACACGTATGCTAATACAAGTAAGAAATCTAGAGTTTTCAGATCGACTTCGATTTTTGACAGAAATTTTAACCCTATTTGTTCAGCATCTTTCCCAGATTATGAAAGCCTAACGCACATGCTGGTATTTGTTCGGACAGGCACCACACTTCAGAGTCTGCGAACAAATGCTGCTAGATATTCCACAATTAAGGGTACAATTAGGACAGGTGACTGTCATTTCGAACTCCGGATAAATACTTTACACATGAAACCTTTCACGGTCCTTCGCTGTGTCACTTTCTCTCTCTTTTATCACGTGGCAGCCACGTGATGAGAAAAATACAGAGAATGAACTGTCATGTGATGACAAAAATGGAGAAAGAAGAGATCTACAACATGATAATTTAGGGTTAGTTTGATAATTATTTTGTTTATTTTTGCTATGGTTTTGATTTTTTATGCTGGAGATATTGGAAAAATATGGGAGAAATGAGGAATTGAAAAGGATGAAGAGAGGAGGTTGGAGGGAGAAATGAAGAAGATTACATTTATAATAACAAAATCTTGAAAGTAAAAACAACTTAAAATTGTCTAATAACAAAATCTTGAAATTAAAAACAACTTAAAATTGTCTAATAACAAAATCTTGAAATTAAAAACAACTTAAATTGTCTTTTAATATTTGATCTTGACAAAATTATAAGATGAATGGTTAGATGTATTGCCACGTGTCAATAGATTAGTAGGTTTGTTATAAGGTAGTTAAGGTTGTTGAGAGCGTTGTGACTTGTGGTGTAAGCTTTGTTAGTTAGTAGGATATCTAACAGATTGTATGGATTGTAATACACTAAGGAAAAATATAAGAACTTTTTTTTCTCTCTCTCTCTCTCTTTCTCTCTAATTCTCTCTCTCTCTCTCTCTCTCTCTCTCTCTCTCTCTCTCTAAAACCTCCATAGTTGTTCTTCATTATTGCTGCAACCTATAATGTTACTTTACATGGTATCATTCGCCTACCAAGCAACTATTGCTTGAAGGTTGATTCCATCTTGGTTACTTTTGCTTCCGCCCCTCAAGATCGTCTGGTTCTCGGAGCTCTAAAAGCTTTCTGAGGTTTCTTTTTCTCGGTCGTGCACTCTAGGTGTTCGATCTTATTTCTCATCAAGATTCTTCAAGAAAATATATAATGGTGACTGCTAATCAGTTGTAGATCTTGCAATCTCCAATCACATCTCTTATCTCTACAATTTCTACTTCTGTCACGGTAAAGCTGGATTATTCCAATTACCTTACTTGGAATTTCCAGATATAGCTATTACTCGAAGGACATGGAATCATTGGGTTCTTGGATGGTTCTAATTCATGTCTTGAGAGAATCACTACCATCAGTTTAGGGGATTTTGAAGTCAATTCTGGTGACTCTTCATCAAGAATTGAAACTGATGCATTCAAAGTCTGGAAAATGCATGATAGGGATTTGATGTAACTCATTGCTACCACTCTTTCTCTAGCAGTTGTGTCATGCGCTATTGGAAGCACAAGTGCTCAGGATTATGGGTTCATCTCAAAGAACAGTTTTCCATTGTCACTCGAGCAACAATATTCCAAATGAAACCTGAGCTACAAAATATAAAGAAGGGCACTGATTCGATATCTTAGTATCTACAAAGGATTAAGGAGGCTCGAGAATATTTGACAGCTGTAGGAATTCACTTTGAAGATGATGATATGGCCAATCTTAACTCTCAATGGTTTACTAGTGGAGTACAACACTATGAGATCAATTATTCGAGGCAGGAAAAGTGTTATCTCCATCAAATATTTAAGATCTCAATTGCTTGCTGAAGAAGCAATGGTGGAAAATACTGCAGTAACTCTATTTCTCTCTGCAATCATTGCTAAGAACATTGAGTCTAGCTCTAAGACCTCAAATTTTCCACAAGATTTTTCTGGTAATCAAAACCAAGGGTTTCTGGCAATCAAAATCAAGGGCATTTAAGTAAGCAAGGGTATTCCAACAATTAGGGATATTCTAGCAATCAAGGGTATTGTGGCAATCAAGGGTTCTCTGGTGGAGGGGGGAATCAAGCTACATATTTCAAGAATAACTATAATAAGAACAAGGGCAGAGGTAAATTTAACTATAATTCTAATTTTCGATATGGAAACTCAAGAAGCAATTACAACAATTCCTCTCCTGCCATTCTTGGTACATCTCCATCAAATTCACCTTGTCAGATATGCGGCAAGTATGGACACTTGGCTGATACATGCAGATTCAAAAATAATGACAATGCAGTGGTTGAAGGATCTAAAATATGTGGAAAGAAGAATCATACTCTGCTTAATTTTTCCTTTTCAAAAATTAAAATATCTCTTGGAATTCATTTCAGATGACTGCAATGCATGTTGCTTCTTCCCCTTCTGGTTCAACATCCAATGCTTCATCTTAACAAGTCGGACTTACAGATTCAAGAGCAATAAATCACTTAACTGCTAACTTGCAAAACCTATCATTGGATACTTTATTCCTATCTACAGA